GCCTTATGTATAAACAAGCATTGTTACCGCATACTAGTTAATGTTCGCAGTTTTGTTCTTCACATAAAGCTTGCTGTTCAGAGTGGACGGATTCTCTTTTGTTTTCCGCCTTTATAAATAATTTATTTTTGTATTATGTATATTTGGATGATTTATTTAATATTATATAATTTGTCATGCAACTGATTAATTTGTTTTAATTTTATTATAAAGGACTGCTACTAATATTTAAGTTGAACTTATTTATTATAAACGTTATTGTATCGTTTCTCAATGACCATCATAGTGTGTGAAATGTACGACATGGGGCTGTGGACTGCGTTTAGCCCAGTCACATCACTGTCAGGAATGAATATTTTCCCTTATGCACGTAGCGACCGGAATAATGAAACTATACTACGTTAACATGAATGTCAGAGGAATTAACAGAGTAAAAGTTGATTTGACTTTTGATCCCAATTTTTACGAAAGTAGCTTATCTTGAAAGTTTACAGATTTAAGAGGGATTTGATGCGTCATTTCTGGGCATTTTTGATTCACTAGTAAGAACGAATTAGCTGTTCTTAAAATAAGATATTGTTAAAATGGTTTAGTTTCATGTGTTCATGTATGCCTTCATGGAAATAATTAACCGTAACGGAAACCTTCATGGAAATAATTAACGCGTCAAAGTAGCATCCACATTTAAGTAGTCACATGCGCCATTGGTATAACATTACAAGTATTTTACTTTTCTAACACAGAAATCACACTCCAAAAATCTGCCATAATAAGACAGAGAAGAAACACAGTATAGTGTAAGTAGATTAATGAACGAATATTTGTATGCTAGTATATTATATTTAAATATATAGACAAGCCGAATAGGATCCATTCTGGTAAATTCATATACCCCTTTCCTCATTTTGTACAATCTGAGTCATCCTTCGCATCACAGGAATTTTCTTCGTTCAGTTATTATATGCATGCGGACGAATCTAATTTCATGGCAACTAAAAACTTACGGTAATGTAAACAAACAGTCCTTTATCGATGTGAAGAGTATCCCATTTTGATCTCTGCATTCCAGTTGGCCTACGTCAGTTACAGATTCCTTCAGGAAAATTATAGTTCCTACAAGTCTCATTTGTGGTTGATTTATGCCTAAAATTTAAAATAGTCTAATGTAATGATTCATTTATTAGTGCTTATTATAGGTCCTCCAAGAAGGACTGATGAACAGAAGGATAGCATCAACAGCGATGAACCGCGAGAGCTCTCGAAGCCATGCTGTGTTTACGCTGTCTATTGAATCAAAGGTATTTTGTCTTCTTTGTACTCACATATCTTCATTAATATTTTTACTTCAGCATGTTATATGAAAGAAATTAAGCCTCATATCAACGCTTATCGAAGGTAGATCTATTAATACATGGACATCTGTATAACAAGGGTACTACAAATGTTTCTACCTGACCCCAGCAGCAGGCCTTACACAGTGAAGCCGCATTATACACTGCTTGCAGAACGAATGCAAACGCTAACCTGTTTCTGGGCGATGCT